CCTGCATCCTTGCTGAAGCTATTCTTGTGTTGTTTCGACTGAACACACTCCTCACAGACTTCACTTGGAATGTCGATTTCTGGTAATCCTGAAACTATATTTCTTCTCTTCAGTTCTCTAATGTCATTAAAGTTGAGATGACCTAGTCGAAAATACCATAACTACTCATCTCTGCTGCCTGCAGTTGCTAGACACTTGTGCTCCATCACATTGAGTCCAATCTTGAAGGTCCTATTCTGAGACATTGGAGCCTTTAAGATTAATCTACCACCTGCGTCGAGAACTCTGATCATCTTGTCTTCGACAACTACCTTGTAGTTATTTTCGACAAGTTGCCCTATACTGAGAAAATTACTCTTCATGCCTGGTATGTACAACACATTGGAAATTGTTGACCTTTTGCCATCTTTCTTCATAATCAGAACATCACCAACACCTTCGGCTGCTAGAGTGTTGTCATTGCAAACTTCACTATGTTCTTCGACGAGGGCTTCATGTTGACAAACCAATCTTTCCTTCCAGACATGTGTGATGAGCATCCTGAGTCCAAGTACCACTGATCTTAGAATCTTTCTTCATCTTTTGTTATGACCATTAACAACGTTTCTTCTTCTTCATGTTTCGCCAACTTTGCATCAGTCTCTTGATTTCTCTTCTTTTTTGGACAATCACTAACATAATGACCATACTTCTGGAAATTGAAACATTGAATGTGGCTTTTGTCTGTCTTTCGACCACCACCTCTTCCTTTACCTGCAGCACCACCTATTTGGTTGTCTTGGTTCCAAGGTTTCTTCTGATTCGACTGGTTTCCTCCTTTGTTGCCATTCCAGCTACCTTTGCCTTTTCTTTCCTTTTCTGACTGCGCCTGCAAAGTCATATCTTTCGACTTTCCTGAAGCTCTCTCAGCCATCCTCTGTTCATGAGACTCAAGAGTCCCTTGAAGCTCTTCCTTCGTCAACACTGACAGATCTTTCGACTCTTCTATGGCAACTACCACGTGGTCGAATTTTGGAGCCAACGATCTCAAAATCTTTGAGACAACTGCTTTCGTCATTAACGCTTCTCCATATACTTTGATTTGATTCACCAACTTTGTAACTTTGGTGAAGAAATCTGTAATGCTTTCGTTGTCTTCCATCTGAAGCAACTCATAGGTTCTCTTGTGAGTTTATAACCTCACCTCTTTCACCTTCTCTGCGCCTCCAAACGACTTTTCAAGAATCTCCCATGCTTCTTTTGCTGAATCAACATCACTAACCTTTTCAAAGTTATCAGGATCAACACACTGATGAATTATAAAGAGTGCTTTATAATTCTTCTTCTTCAATTCTTTGTGCACAACCTTTTCCGCCTCCGTTGCGTTCTCCCCAAGCGATGTTACTCCGTCCTTCACAAGATCCCAAAGATCTTGATAACAGAAAATCACCTTAATCTGCTTGCACCAATTCTCAAAATTGTCTTTCTTGAGAATTGGCAGGGTCGCCAGAAAGTTGCCCTTCGGATAGTTCATCGCCATCACTATCTTCCTTCCTTGAATCTCTCAACCGGAGCTCTAGATATCAGATGTTGGAAATTCACCTCACACCCTATGAAGAATTCCCTTCAATCTTGATCTCAAGATTGATGAATAAACCCACAATGTGATAGTAATGGTGATAACAAGTGAAGAGTTATCAAGAACAAAAAAAGAGAAGAAGATTAACAAACAAACAACAAGATAGAAAGAGAGAAGGAATATTTGGAGAAAATGTGTTACCCACAACTGTGGGATTTCTGATTATATTGAACTTTCACTTGCTAAACTCTGCAACTGTGAAATCTGTTCTATGTTGTGTAGAATACAAAACAAGGCATCCTATTTATAGTTTTAGGTTTTCAAAAGCCCAAAACATAAAAGGCCCAAAATATTCAAAATCAAATCTAATCTAAATCATATCAAATCAAACCTGTTTACACTATGAATTATATTTAACAAACACAATGATACGTTTTCAATTTTCTGCTATAATAGAACCAGGTACAGGCCTCAAAACCGTTTTTCCTAGAAAGATCATCTCGTTAAATTTCCAACGCTTTAAACGGGGGTCAAAACCGACTTACGGTTCAAGAGTTATGAATTTTCGAAGTTTTTCCAAAACAGAATTTTTCTGCATAAAGACTGCTACGGGTTTGAGCATTTTCGCTCGAAAATCCGACCGATTCAATTATTTTCTTCGAAACAAACACATACTCATTCATACTAAACATATATTAGTGATTTAGAACCATCAAACGTGAAATCTATGACTTTCGATTTCAATCCGAATCTTAAACCCTCAAATCTCCAAAAATGCAAAAACTTACAAAATCAACCAAATTTGATAAAACAAGCATACTCGATCACGGCCTAACATTACCCGATACAACTACGCAATCTATTCCGACTTTCGTCCGTAAAAACACCGATTACTCACAAAAATCTCAATTTCAACCTAGAACTCAAGTTATGGAAAACAAGAAAATATCCAAGCAAACACATACGTAATGATATACATTGATGAGATAATAAGATTTCACACCCTTACCCGATTATATCGATTCCTAGAAGTTGTTTTGAAGATTTTCAAGCTTTTCCTCTTTTTCTTCTCTTTTGTCTTCTTCCTCTTTCTTTCTCTCCTTTTTCTCTCTATTTCTCTTTTCTTTCTATTTCTCTCCTATTTCTTCTTCTTATCTTTTTTTTAACACAAATTTAATTAATTCCTTTTCTCACATAATTCTATTTCCACTAAATTTCTAACTTATCATTAAATGAGAAATGTCCAAAATACCCTCCATTCTAATTTCTCCGAAAACTCTCAAAAACGGTAAAATATCATAACATGTCAACATATCATATTAACACACCAATTTCACAAATAAAATAATTATCACTCAATTTAAATAAAAGACTCAACAAAATGGTAATAATCGAAATCGGGGCATTACAACAATTCCCTCCATCTTTCGTTTCCCCCCTATCTTCCCCGTAGTCGAACTACGAAAACTCTGATTTCTCATTCTCGTTTGAATGAGCATATGTAGGCACAAGGGCCCTAATCCTTGACGAGAACCCTATCCTAAAACCACCATTTTTTCCCTTAGCCTCGTTTCCTTTTTATCTTACCGTTTCACATTTATCGTTGAGAAGAAAACAAACAAGCTTAGATAACGCTCATCACAAATCGGACTAAGAGGTTCCCGTTGAGTACAACTGACATGAGGGGTGATAATACATTCCCTTTGCGTAACCGACTCCTGAACCCAGAACGTGGTTGCGACAACCGTGTTCTTATATGTCTTCTTAAAGGTTTTCTCGATATTTTCCTTTCCCTCTTTTTGGGATAAATAAAGTTCGGTGGAGACTCTATCAAACGCATTCTGCGCCTTTCGCGTGAGGGTCGTATTTTGATTTTTCGAGGTGCGACAGTGATTTAATCGCGTTACAATCTCCCGTCGCCACCCATTCACCCACCAGAAGCTTGTTCTTCCATACTAGTAATTTTGCCCAAAGTTTCTTTTTTTTTTCCAACAACTTACACGATGAATAAACATTTATAAGGTAGCATCTCCTCTCATGCCACAAACCACAGACACCTAAGAAGCCACACCCACTAAAACTAAATTTAGCAGTAAAAATGTCTCTCTTCCAAATAGACAAGATACCTCCTGACTTCCTAGACGAATTAATCGCCGACCAATCTAAATCATCCTGATTCCAAATACTCTGAACCCAACTATCATTCATTTCCTGGATCTTTGATTCCTATATGAAGCAAACTTCCACCTTTTCCTCCGATAAAATCGGCTGAATACTTCGCCCTTAAGGGAAGAGCAACACCCGCGCACGTTGTATGAGATGCAATTCATGGTACTCGTAACTCATACTCCAACCTATCTTCAAATAACTTCCTATCTCTGAGTTTCATTTCACAAATAATTCGCTCGAAAAACTCAGTCATTTGTCTCCCCTTCCACTCCCATATTTTTGATTGAATTCCAAATTCTTGAAGGGATAGAATCCAACGACTTTGAAATTCTTCGATTTCCATTGTCAACATCCGAACCGCAAATGGATTCACAACACAACACAGAACCACTGGAAAACTGAGGAGATCTGATACCATCAGATACTGCCAGACTGCCATCAGGCGACGACCTTGTCCTTAATTCAACCAAATGTGTTGGATTATATAAGGGAATAACGTGGTGCATCAGAGACGAGTAAAAGGAAGGGGAACTGCTCATAAATATCATTCAACAGTTTGACTTTCCTTTGCTTCACACCATGAGCAGGCCCAACAGATATGATGCTAGTACATTGAATGGGGTCAAACACCTCCTATATTGGACTATAAGTTTTTTCAATCACTATGTTTTAAAAACCTATAAGTTGTCGGGCGTGTTATATCTCAGTTTTTAAAATAATCGACATAATATATTATATATATTTAAAAAAAACAAAAACGTGTCAAAAAATTTTACCACAATTTTTTAATATGTGAAACGAAATCATTGTCATAAAACTAATTTTTTTTAGTAGTAAAAATCAGGTGTGCAACCGCGTCATGAACCACAGCAATTAATTTCAGTAAGCCATATTTTTTCAATTATTTTTATCAAAAATTTAAATTTCAGAACCCGAAGTCCCCAATCTTCGTCCAATGCAATAAAAAATCTAAATTTAACGATTTCTCAATAGTAGTATTTTTCAAGCGCCTTTCGAATCGGTATTCACATACACAATTCCAAACAATTTAACAAATTTCAGGATTATATATGCGTCGAATATAGGTTTATATCCCTCCAGCATATTATAGTATAGCCTAAAACTATAACTTTGAACTTTGAAGATAAGTTAAATTCCAATTAATTACTCTAAAAACTCTAAGCAAAAAGAGAAAAACAACAACTGTTTCCCATATTAGAACAGAAAAAATCCTTAAATAATACAAACCAATAGCATATCATGTTTTCTCTTTTCACATGTAAAGCATGCAATTGACAGGTTTACCCCCATTGTCCAAGGTACCATTACCAGAATTATTTTGAAACACAATCTTCAACCCATCGCAAACAGCCAACATCATCATACTTTTGGTGGACATTGAGGTTGACTTAAACTCAGCCATGGAAGACACCTTCAAACCGAACGTAATGGAACCACTTTGTTTTTCATTACTCATCTTATCCAAATCCCATTTTTGAAACGACACGATATTTCCAGCGTTGTTCGAAGAAGCTTTAACGTCCATATGTTTTTCTTCATGTTTTTCCAATTGAAAATCGGGCACAAAACTCATAGCTATCTCGTTGGTTTGATCATGCACGACATCAACCTTAAAATCCGAGAAGAAACCTTTTAGTTTTGTGTTAGGATTCTCAATGGCCAGGCTGATGCTCCAATCGCCTGTTAAAACTGGACTTGTGTTGAAATTCGTTACCGACATGGCGTGAACCTTGTAAACAGGTAGTTTAGGATGTAATATGAATGCTATTATGAGAGTTGAAAGGAAGAAGCCTGTGAATATGAAACATGAACACATTATGAATCCTCTAAGGAAGCCTCTACCTACTGCGTCGGAATGATAGTTTTGAGGAGGGTAGTATGGTGCATGACCAGGATAGTTATTGTATCTTTGCGGCTGAGGAGGATATGGGGGGTATCCATGTGGTGGTGGAGGGTATGGATGAAAGGGTGGTAGTGGTGGGCCATGAGGACCTGGTGGATAACCAGGTCCCGGTTGGTAATACATCATGTGAGGTGCGGCCACCGGTGGTGGCGCGGGCGCCCGTGACGTCGTGTCCGCGTTTGATGAGGGTTGATGATCGGGGGAAGATGATTGATGTGGAGATGCTTTTCCATGGTTTGATGATTCAGACATGATGATTTTTCTTGGTTCTCTCTCCCAATGAAAAATTTGAGAGAGAGAATGTGAGAGATGGGAGAGAACCAATAGGCTGTTCTGTATTTTGTTGTGTTATTTGTTGTTTTTGTTTTTTGCTGAGATGAAAACAAGGAATGGAAGACACAAAAATAGATTGACAGGAATTTGGGGAAGGTTTTTGGTCTTTTGATTCTATTGGAATTGATGTAGTAGTAAAATGAGGAGTTAGATCTTCTCTAACTTTTTCAACGTCTCATGTTTTTTCCACTACATGTCTTGTTATTTAGCTAAATGTAGCGTAATGGACAAGGATTAGCATTTTCCTAGCTGGTTCTTCCATATTATCTAACTTTGTAAATTCCCCTATTATTAAATTGTTGGGGGAGAAGCTAAATGAATTATGATTCTCTATTTTTAAATAAAAGTTTTATTATTAAATTTTTATTGTATAAATATTGATATTTTTGGAATTGACAATTGTATAACTTGTGTCTTATACACTTAGCTTTAATACCTAATTCATCTATGTTATTTTAACTTTTAGTCAAATCAGTCACAAAATTTTGATGACACGATACTAAAATGTTGTTAAGTATCCTTCTCTTTCTCTGGGTGAGTTATCTTGGAATTTGTCTCGAGTGAGATGTGAATGCTCGATCATATTTTGTTGTAAATGTTTATGTTAAGTGTTTGTTGGCAGAAAAAAAGGCGGTGTGGAATCTTTTAGATCGAGCATGTGAACGATTTTTTAGTTCTCTTTGGTGTATTTTAGGGTACTTAAATACATTTTTTTTCGTGTCGAAAGAGAGAGTGTAAGAGTGGGGCAATGTAACACCCTAATTTTCTCCGTGTAATTGTAAATAAAATGAGAGTAATTTCAAACCAACAACAATTAGGATGCTACTTTAACACAAATCAACTCACAAGATATGATATGTAACACATACAATTTTAAAAAATTATTAATAATAAACTAGTAGCAAAAATCAACAAGTCTGAGCTTTAGTATTTATTTAGCAGCGAAAAGGCATCAATAAAAATTTATTTTGATATTTCAAAACATAATCAAAACACATAGTAATTATAAGAATAATAAACTTCAGAAATAACATAGCAATTTCCGCCATAAAATAAAATAAATATAAAAATATTTTATTCCCCAGTGTTACATATCAAAGCAGACGTCAACTCAACAAAAGCAATAAGAAGAACATTCTTTTTCACTCACATCAAAGCCTCTACTGTGGATAATCTGCACGATGTCCATGTAAAGGGATCATTCAATCAGAAGGGGTGAAAAATCACAATCATATTAAAAAATGCATAATAATATGTAAGCACCCATCAACATATGCATAATCACTCGATCCACAGTTCACACCTCACACAATACACACATAATAATACAACATGTATGCAAATGCAAAGAGACTTAACTCTTGACTCAATGCATGTGGTATAAATAACGAACTCTCAGGTTCACTCGCTCTGATCTCCACCACAGGAGCAAAGCCCACCAAAAATCGTCACCGTCACCATAGGTAACACTTCACTAATTCCATTACCATATGAATTAGCTACTCAAACCTGATTCATCATAATGGGATCGAGGGTCACCAAAAATGTCGTTACCATCCAGTGGTGGAGCTTGGTAGGAGCTGAGGTGGGCCATGACACCCCTAAAAAGAATTGTTTTCTTTAATATACTAGTTCAAGTGAAGCTACTAACCTACACTCAGACATTTTAGCCTCACTCACATATACCATTAGATTGAATTTTAACATAGTGACAAGCTTTCAAACTGGTGTGTAAACAAGTTTTGTTATATTTATTACTACTACCGTTCAAACAGACACTTCCGTGTACGTTTGTCCACTTCTTTTATGCGTTGTGTTGAAATGTTAACGATTTTTGATGAAATGCATAGATATATGTTTATCAATACTAGCGTTCAAACAGACACAATTTGTCCATTTTTTTATGTGTTAACGCGTTGAAATGTTAAAGATTTTTTTAAAAATAATTTTTAAAATTATTTATGTGATACTATTAAATTTTTTTCTAATAATATTTTATTAAATCTTTTTTACGCACATAAGTCAATATATATACAAGTAGTTTTTTTGTGTAAACTTTGTGATTCTCTCTTTTCTCTCTCTCTCTCTTTGATGTTAATGATTTTTTTTTTTAAATTATTTATGTGATAATTTTGATGAAATGCATAGATATATGTTTATCAATATACTATAAAAAAATTTTTTTGATAATATTTTATTAAAAAAAATTTACGCACATAAGTCAATATATATACAAGGTAGTTTTTTTTTTTAAACTTTGTGATTCTTTCTCACGATGACACATTATTACTTTTATGATGTTTTTCACATATGTCTCCTTAGAAAAAATATTATGTGTCCATAACTATTAAAAATAAAAGTAAGATATTAAAAGAAAATTCAACTAATAACATAAAACTAACTATTTTAAACCAAATAAATTAAAAGAAAATTCAAATTAAAAACTGCTTTTTTTGAGATATCATAAAATTTTCATCTTAATCTCTAAAGACTCATTTCCATCACATGCCAATTATTTGTTAGAAAATTTGGTATGATAATCTTGGATATTTTCGAGGAATCGTGTTCGTACACTTTTCGAACAAAGTATTTCGACCCTATTATTTGCCTGGGTTCATGAAATCTTTGTGGGAATAATTCTTGAAGAACAATCTGCTTCTGGCAATAGAAAACAGATCAAGAATGTAGAGAGAAATATGATTTTTTTTCCAGTGTCTAAAACTGAGGCCAAATGACTCCTTATATAGGAGATTAAATAACAGAGAACGAAAAGGGACATCTGTTCAAAAATTTTGAACGGGTTCATCTTTTCAAATTTAATTTCGAACGGGTTCAAAATTTCGAACGGGTTCAAACGTTCAGAAAGATTTCGAACAGGTTCAACTATTCAGAAAAATTTTGCCCCTTCGAATCCCATGGGGCGGCGCCCCGCACCCCGCCAGGGGCTTCGCCGGGACCGCCAAGGGCTTCGTCGGGACCCCAGCGGAACCCCAGCCAGGGGCTCTGCCCCTTGGAACCCCACGGGGCGCTGCCCCGCACCCCACCAAGGGCTTCGCCCCTTGGAACCCCAGCGGAGCGCTGCCCCGCACCTCGCCAGGGGCTCCGCCCCTTGGAACCCCTTTTCAATTATTCGCATTCAATTGCACGTTGGCTCGACGAGTGTGCACTCCGCACTACCCTAACTCGTTTTCAAGCTTAACGTATAATTGCATCGGCCTACAGTAAATCACATTACTACTAAAATACATTGATGATACTGAAATCACCAACATTATTTGTCGTTTTCCGCTGTTTTTTTTTTTACTTTTCCTTCTATAAAATGTCTTCTATAACTATCTTTAAAGGTATTGTCTCGTGTGAATCTTTCCCTCTCTTCGTAATCATTTTATAACTATAAAAATATATAATTTATAATATATAGTTTTTCCACAAAATAATTAGTGTTCTTGCATTTACAATTTATCATTTCTTTCATTACTTATGTTTTATACTTAGTTAATTTTGAACATATAATTTTTATAGTTAAAGAAATATATAGATCTAAAATATTAACACTTGATTTCAAAAAATGTAGTTATATGAATTTTTGTCAAATATATAATTTAAATTAGAATCAGACTATAAACAAAGTAATAAATAATGTCTCTTAAATAAAAACATAAATAACATATAAATAGTAGTTATAACTATCAAGAATATTAATGTCTCTTAAATAAAAACACAAATAACATATAAATAGTAGTTATAACTATCAAGAATATTACTGCTTTAGAAATGATAAATTTGACAAAGAACAAAATTATAATTACTTTAATGAAAATCTCTTGAGTAGATGTTGCAATACGCAACCAAAATAAAAGGACAGACCATGTTGAACTATACACAACCAATAATATAGCACATCGAACAAACTTCAAGAACAACCAACTTACAAAAAAAAAAATATAAAGATGTGATTTTTATGTTTTAATATAAATTGATAACCTTCACGATCACGGCCATAAACCCGTAGTAGATTCTTTATTTTTTAAGATCATTCACTGTCAAAGAATAAAAAAATTATATTTAAGACTTCAAAGCAAGAATAAATAAAAATCAAATAAAATAATTAAATAAATGGGAGATACTGGCCACCATAACCATTGTACCACACCAATGCTGGCCACCATACACCATACACATGATATAAACATTCAACAACAACAATATAATAATATAGCAAGAAACAACATCATATTCATGCATGTTTCACTACTACACACAAACCACACATCATCCAACACCATCACGCAAAATTTAAATCAATTACAGGTGTTGGAACTACTTTTAAAAGAAAGTTCATTGCATTAGGTTTTTAACGCTTCAAACGACACCTCAATCGGGCACCCGGAACTCAAGTTATGAATTTTTAAAATTTTCTGAATTTTTTCTACCAGTGTAACCGGTAACTGGTTACACCCCCCAAAAAATTTAGTTTTAATGTTTGTAAGCAATCTCAAGTGTAACCCGTTACACCAAAAGTAGTAACCAGTTAGCAATGCAACAGAAGTAGTTTCTGCTATATTTTTACACGAAAATCAGTTTGCAAAGCATCCCAAAACTTCAAAATTGTCATACCAATTCATAACTCGGGTTCCGACTCTGATTCTAAACATCACACAACAACACAAACAACTCATCATCATAATATTCAACCAACATACATTTGGTTAGTACCTGTGTTATCCCAACTTTTAGTTGGTATCCTCTGTTTTATCCTAACTCTTGGTTAGTACCTGTGTTTATCCCAACGTTTAGTTGGTATCTTTGGTTGTATCCCAACTCTTGGTTGGTACCTACCATGTTGTATCCCAACTTTTGGTTGGTATCCTTTGTTTTATCCTAACTCTTAGTTAGTACTTATGTTTATTCCAACTTTTGGACGGTATCTTTGGTTGTATCCTAACTCTTGGTTGGTATCCTCTGTGTTGTATCCCAACTCTTGGTAGGTATTCTCTGTTTTATCCTAACATTTGGTTAGTATCATGTTGTATCCCAACTTTTGGTTGGTATCCTCTGTTTTATCATAACTCTTGGTTAGTACATGTGTTTATCCCAACTTTTGGTGGTATCTTTGGTTGTATCTCAACTCTTGGTTGCTATCCTCTGTGTGGTATCCCAACTCTTAGTTGGTATCCTCTGTTTTATCCTAAATCTTGGTTGGTAGCCCTTGTTGCATCCCAACTCTTGGTTGGTATCTTTATCTTCTTATCTCAACTTTTGGTTGGTATCCTCTATTTTATTCTAACTCTTGGTTAGTATCTTTTCATTCCAAATATTGGTTGGTATCCTTTGATGTGAGTTCGCCTTCAGTTGGCGTTCTTTTGTTGTTGAATCCTAACTTTTGGTTAGTATCTTTCGTTCCATCTTTTGGTTGGCATCTTATATCATTGTCGTTGTTAGTCCCTACAGTTTTCAAATTTTCCGGGTTCTTTTGTATTCAATCACCATATATCTCGAATGCCTGAAAGCTGATGATATCATCCCTAGCTTCAGGTTTAAGTCGGTTGAATAGGGGCAATTGTAGCACCCCAAAATTTTCCCTTTCAATTTAACCGTATCTGGATTATGTTTCATTCATTTTTGCATTATCATTGTGCATATCATGAAATTGGCTCTTGAGACATGGGATCAAGTTATTTCTATGACTCAGGGAGTTTTCTTTTATTGCAAGCATCAAAGTTATTCCTATCGAGGATCTTTTTTTCCCTTTTCATTCTTGTTTCCGTTTAGTAGTAGGCTTTGGATAACACACCCTATGATTAGAACAACAAGCGTGGATCCCGTTGAGTACAACGGACGCGAGGGGGTGCTAATATCTCCCTCCCACGTAATTGACTCCTGAACCCTGGATTTGGTTGCGATGACCATGTCTTCTCCCTTTCTTTGAGGTTTTCTTTAATCGTTTCCTTTTCCCCCGTTGGAATAAATGACATTCAGTGGTGAGACTTTAATTATTCCAAAAAACCCGGGCGACAACTCATCCTCCACAACTGTCAGTAAATACCGTGCAAATTACAGTTTTTCCCTTTTCACAGTTGAAGTGCACCTAATGCCATTCCTGCAAAATAAATAGACTACGTAACCTGCTAGTATTTAGCGGATGCGAAAATGAGATGCTATGCGACATGAATCGACTAATCTGAGGGTAAAATTTGGGGTATTACAGTTGCCCCTTTTTAAATAACTACACCAGATGACTTGAGACTCTTCTGTTTTTTCGCCAAATGTTTTTCGCAGTTGCGACATACAGACTCAGGATCCCTCTCATTTTGATGTGAATTCGGTTTTTCCCTAGAAGCTGCTAGAAGTGTCTCATTGTCATGCCTCGTGCAATGGTAACAGTCCCTCGCCAAGCTGCTAGAAGTGTCCCATTGTCATGCCTCGTGCACTGACAACCACTCCCTCGCCCTCGAGTGTTACATGTAACCACTCTCCGCCCTTTTCAACCTCGGGTGTTACATGCCCATCAACTTTCACTTAGTTCGTCCCCGAACCACATCGTACTGGGAGAGGTCTGACTTTGATACCATTTGTAATGCCCCAGAGTGCTTTCAGGATTACTGACTGACCCGACAAACTAACACATGTCTTTTCAGGATGCTTTTTCCTCACTCACATGCTTTCTAGGAAACTTCTCGGAAGGTCACCCATCCTAAAGTTGCTCCAAGTCAAGCACGCTTAACTGTGGAGTTCTTATCGAATAGGCTACCGAAAAGAAGATGCATCTTGTTGGTATAAGTACTAATAATTAATCCTTATAAGCCTTACTTCAACCATGCAGTCTCATTCCTGCACAGACTCAGGATCCCTTTCATTCTAATGTGAATTAGGTTTTTTTCCTAGATGTTGCTAGGAGTGTCTCATTATCATTCCTCGTGCACCGACAAGCACTCCCTCGCCAAGTTGCTAGAAGTGTCTCATTGGCATGCCTCGTGTACTGACAACCACTCCCTTGCCCTTGGGAATTACATGTAACCACTGTCCACCCTCTTCGGCCTCGAGTGTTACATCATGGGTTCGAAACCCAACAGCAACAACAATTTATTTGAAAATAATTAACATTTCATGACGGTTACAAAATATAATTGTTGTGAAAAATACCCTGAGTTTATTATAAAATATATAGATTGCTTGTTTTTCCTTACACCTCACTAAACATATACAACCATAAAACTTGATGTAGAAGATAGTAATTTGAAAATTAAATTAGTCTTGAAAAACAACTTAAACGAACCACTGTTTTTCAAATTGCATTCATACCGTAATTCATCTCTTGCTTCTTAACACATAGAATTTGATTCAATACCCCAAATTCTTCAAAAAAAAACGGTTCATTCCTAGTTTATTTTGCAAAGCGTCAATATGTTGACTAATTCTAAATCATCATCATTTCTATCATCATCGTTGCTTTAATCAATAATGAAGATTTTTATGATGACAGCGATGAAGATGATTTAATTTCTCAACACATTTGATGTTTTGCAATATAAATTAATAGAGAACGAATCATTGCTTTGAAGAATTTGGGACAATAAACTAAGTTCTACGTGTTAAAGACCGATATAAATTAATTACGAGATAGATACAATTCGAAGATCATGTTTGATCTAAGTTGCATCTCAAATAAACTTAATTTTTAGATTATTATTTTCTAAATCAGTTTAAATGAATGCATGTTCAATGAAGGAAGTGAAACAAACAATCTACATACATTATAATAAACTCAACAATAACATATACATCAATAAAATGACAACAACATACCTTTTATTGAAAAGCTTCGTGAAATAATCTAAAGTTGATATACTTTGTGTTGCCATGAAGCTTCCAAAATTGATCTATATTTCTTGTATTGTTTCTCCATAGCAAAACAAATCATTTGTGAACCACATTCATAATAGTATGAACTAACATTAATATTGTAACCTAACAAGCAACAAAGCATTTAGAAAGTAAATCATGTCACAACAAAAAACAGCATGTTAACATAAATAAGCAATACACTGTAACATAACAAACAACAACAACCACAACATGACTAGCTTTAACATTGTAACATAAAAAGCAACAACAACCAGCAGGACATTGTTAACCCAAAAAGAAAGTAAATCATGTCACGACAAAAAGCAGTATGTTAACAACAACTACCCACAACAAATCAAAAACTTGTCAAAAACAACAACTAACAACAAATCAAGTAAAACATAACAAGATCTTCAATCTTCATGCCTAGTTGAATTCGTGCAGTTCTCAAGGTGTTCATAGTTCTTAAGATCTTCATTTGATTCAAAATTAGTTACATCCAAATTCATAAGGTCATTCATAATAACTTCTATCTTGTTCATCTTTTCAGGGTTAAGATTCTTGAAATGAATCTTCTTATAGCTCATTCCATCAGAAGGTTCAACAACAGTAATGTGTTCCCTAACAGATTCAGCTTCCTTGACTTTGTTCAACCATAACTCCACCATATCAATAACTTCTTTTATAACTTGAATCTCATGGATATGTTTGTTGCTCCCACTATTCATGATGAGAGAAGGATCTGAAATCAGAAAATACAACAATAACAACAACATACAACAATATAAAACTATAACAACAAAAAAACATAAACTCTCGAACAAGGAAGAAGAAGAACATATTTATGTATGAAGCGAGAGCTAATGATGAAGATGAGAGAAAATGTGTGCTAAGGTTTTGCTGTAATGGATACGAAGATATTGTCAAGAAGCGAGAGGTAATTCACTTCTATTATAAATAAGTAAGTAATTTCACCACGGTTGTATTAAAAAATTGTAATGAAATGTAATGACTTTAACCATGATTCTACTAACAATCGTGGTGATATGTATTTCAATTTTAATTTATATATTATAATTATAAGAACAACATCAATTGTATAGAACAATTAAAAAATTGTTAGAGTTGGGATTTGAACCCTGTCATTCCATATATGTATAATCACAATTTATTAGTTTGACAATAGTGCAATGTATTTTCATAAATATAAATAAAAAAGCGCGTCCATAATTGTGGTATTATCACGGTTAATAAACAGACTCATATAGTTTAGTGTGACGAAATATCTATTTTATAGTAGTCATAATTACTTTATGATTTGAAATGCAATTATTTGATTTATTTAAAATGTCCACAACAATGTAATCTTTAATGGAGTCACAGTAACTGCTAAGAAATGGAGGAATAAAGCATTTATTATACATTGACTGACTGTGACATTTTAAAAGCAAACTTATATATATATATATATATATATATATATATATATATATATATATATATATATATATATATATATATATATATATATATATATATATATATATATATATATATATATATATATATATATATATATATATATATATATATATATATATATATATATATATATATATTGTTGCTCAGTGAATTTCAAAGACCGTGTAACACGTAAAACAAAATTAAAACAAGTCTAAATATACATATAGAAATTCCTTAATTACATAACAAATAAAAAAACAACTTTTCCTCAAGAGTTTACAAGGGACTAAAATCATTTACATGAAAAATATATGACCTTAATTTCAAAAAGGCAATGGCTTCCAACGAATTGGAACAGAGAAATTCTTATTAAGGTCAACCAACCTTCCTGAATTCGTATTAGGAAAAAAATGAACCACCAAATCTTCACAATAAGGTGTCATAACAACATCATAAACCGATGCTGTATCAAAATCAGAATAAGTAGCTTGAACCTTCATTTGAATTCCAAAACTCAATGTACCATTATTTCTATCTCTATCTTTCCTTATTTCTTCCACCAAACTACTCTCAACAAATGGCTGCTCTTGATCAGCTTCCCAATTAGCCGTCTCCGTAGTCATGAACTTCAAATGCAGCTTTATGAACCCACCTTGGTACAAACTAAAAGGTTGTGAAGAAGCAACTGAGAGAGCATCTTCTAGATTTTGTTTGTAAAATATTGTGAACTCAATGCTGCGAAAGCTTATAGACGAGACATTTGTGTTTGTGATTGTGAATTTGGTGTCCCACGTTGCGGCGAGTCCTTTTGTTCCTATGGTGAAATTTGAAATGTACATTGAATTGAGTTTGAAAATAGGTGGGATTGGGTCTTGTTTTGGTGATCCTGAATGTCTATAATAAGGAAAGAATATTAGTAATATTAACATTGTGACACCGAGAAAGTCTTGGATTTCTAGGCAGCTACGACGACTAACGACGATGATTTCTTCTGAATGGTTGGAGATTGTTGGAAATGTTGGGTTTGTGGAGATTGATAATGGTTGTTGTTCTTCGTGAGGATTCGCTTCGGTTTCTGATTGAGGCAATGTTGAAAACCTGTAAACATGATTTCTCTCGTTTTGAGGTTCAACAGAGGCCATAGTCAACAAGAATTATGGTTTTGAGAATTGAAAGAGGAGGTAGGAGAAAAGAGAATAGCAAAATCCTAGGTTTCTATTACTAAAAATACTAATACGAGGATTCGCAGGTGGTCTTTTTGTATTTAAATAAGGATGAGGATTTGGTTAAATTTTGGACAACGATATGAGAATTGGTTTTAACAAATGTGACAACTAGGTTTATTTCAATTGATTTAATGGAATCGGTTAAGACCGTTACATAAACCTATTTTTAAAATTTTAATCTTTTTGTTATAATTTTTCTAAAAGAGAAAATTTTTTTAAAGAAAAAATGGGTTTAAATGATTTTATATGGAAATTATTTTAAATATTTTATATTTTTTGCTATGAGAATTTATCGATGATAAAAATTTAACAAAATATTTAATAAAAAGCTATTTGAAATATTTTTTTGTAAAACTTGTTTTCCTTAAAATATGTATTCTTAGTAAGTTAACATTTTTAACAATACATTTTTAAACTTTTTAGTGTCAAAATTATTATTTCAATTTATAATAAATAGGTTGAAAATATTTTCTACAACTTTTAATTAAAATTTTACAAAAAATATTTTAGAAATATATAGATTCATGAAGAAATCTCCTTGAAGCTAATCAGGTGAGATCGCAATTGTCCTGTCTAGCGAAGATATGTTAGGAAGGGATCATGGCCACCATTGTTGTTGGTCTAAGGTTTTCACGTATTATTTCTCCTTTTTGTGTTACTCATCTATTTGTCCACCTCTTTGTTTGGTCTCAAGACCTACTTTTATTTTGTCAGCCTTTCCCCCATTTTGGATATTGAAGAGACGTGGATTAAATAGTTAATTAGCAACCATTGACTATTTGTAACTGACTCCTCATTAATCCTTTTATAACGGATTCGTCCATTGGAATGTCATAACGGCTCCGACTTAGACAGTCCTTCAGAGGCCAGTAATTTTAATCAGAGATAAATATGGAACTTGTGACCTGGCTTCATAATAATTCCTCGGGATGCATGTCGTCCATATCAAAATCCGAGAAACATACTCAAATTTAAGATGTTTGGGGTGTACATAAGCCCCCCGATCATGAAACCTCAATGGGATGAAATGTTCGAACAAAGAATCCTGAAAATGTTTCTTCTTGAATGGGGTGTACTTCCATCTAGTTTGATTTTATGGAGAAGCCAATCATGACTCTAGTTTGACAGGGTTTCCAAATCGTTTATGGATGTAGAAAAGTCGAAGAGCCCCTTGAGATATCGACTTATTCGTCTTCATATAACTCGGTAGGTTCTAGACGTAGAGAGTTCAGAGAGCCCTAGTGGGGCCTCGACCAATTTGTCATCGTAGAACTCGGTTGGTTCTAGATATAGAGAAGTCATAGAACCCAATGGAATCTCGACCCATTTGTCGTCATAGAACTCGATAGGTTCTAAAAAGAGAGAAGTCAGAGAGCCCCAATGGGATCTCAACCCACTCGTCATTGTAAAACTCAGTAGGTTCTAGATATAGAGAAGCCGGAGAGCCCCAATGGGATCTCGGTCAATTCATAGTCGTAAAACTCAGTAGGTTCTAGACATAGAGAAGTCGGAGAGCCCTAGTGGGATCTTGACCCATTCGTCGTTGTAAAACTTGGTAGGTTCTAGAGATAGAGAAGTTTGAGAGCCCCAGTGAGATCTCGAGCTATTGTAATTGTTTTTTGCTATGCCAATGTTTGGCATTATTGTTAGGACCGTCATAGCCCACGTGAGACTAATCAAATCCTTGGATGTATATATAAGTTGGAAAATCCTGACTAAATCTGGTTTCATTCTTTAGAGAACCTCGGTATGTCGGGATCTGATCCCTAGAGAATCTTTGGTGTGACTAATGTTATAGTTTGTTTTCACTTTATTCGTAATCATTTTGTCATTAGTCATCCTTTGAGGGTGCGTTTTGTAATGTTTGGACGCTTCCAAATCATTTGACAGTAATATTTGAACCCTCATGCGATTGTTTAAGTTGTGACCATGTTAGTCCCTTTATGTAGTCCTAATGCATTTTATCTCTTTGATAACTATCAATTTGTTTGACTGGAAATAGAATTCTCGGCCAAGTGCGTCTTAATTTATCTTTAGCTGAGGTTTGTACCATATAGGCGTAAATCCCCAATGATTTGAGCCTTACTATTTGATGAGTATCGGTATTTTAAGCGCATACCGGCTAACCCCATGTGGATCATGTCGGATATATGTGTTTGGCGGGTAATAAGTTAACGAGGCCGCTTAAGATCTGAGGTTTTTATTTACTTGACCGGTTTTCCAGAGGTTCTTATTTACTTAGACTTTTGATTTAATCAGAGGTTTTAATTAACATGGCTCGACCAGAGGTATGCTAACTTAGTCAAGATGCCAGAATTTTTATTTACTTGGACTTTTGAATTGGTTAGAGGTTTCAATAAACATAACCCGGACAGAGGTTCTTATTTACTTGAACGATTTTCTAAAGGTTTTATTTACTTAGACTTTTGATTCGGTCAGATGTTAGAATTAACATAATCCGGTTAGAGGTTCTTATTTACTTGACTGATTACTTAAGATCAGCAACTTTGTTTAACTTAACCCGCCCGGAGGTTTAACATTTACTTGGCCGATTGCTTAAGGTCAGAGATTTTATTTAACTTAACCCGGCCAGAGGTTTAACATTCACGTGTATGATTGCTTAAGGTCAGAGGTTTTATTTAACTTAACCCGACCAGAGGTTTAACATTTACATGGATGATTTCTTATGGTCAGAGGTTTTATTTAACTTAAATCGGCCAAAGGTTTAACATTTACTCGGTCGATTTCTTAAGATCAGAGGTTTTATTTAACATAACCTGACCAGAGGTTTAACATTTACGTTGTTGATGTTTCCTTGTGGAGTTCTTGGTTTAAGTATCATCAGTAGAGGTTCTCATCGTTCTCGGTCCCTACTTTTATTTTAGGATTAAGTTTCTGCCCGTACGAGATCAATTTACTTCTTTTCTTCGACTTTCGATTTATTTAATTTGTGCGACTGTTAGCTAGGATTTTTGACAATGGTAAAAATATCATCAAAACACAAAGATAAAGGTACACTGATGATGTGTACGTGAGAAGAGTCTTGGGTCGAAGAGATTTGGGACTTAATATTTTTTGAATTGTTTTAGGAATATTTCGACCGCGTGGATTTTGATAGCATCAAGTGTGTCGAAGAGGCGGTTATTTAAGCATGCAAATATTATGTTCAAACATGAATAACTATCTGTGGGTTTCTTTATGAAGGACGCATGGAGAGAGTGCAGAGATGGGTTGCATGCAAGGTTTCATGTGGCGAACACTGAAGATATGAACGTTAGAAACAATTATTCTTATACTAGTATATATAGTATTTCATTTGTAGAATTTGGTGTGTTCATTTTACTACAAAAATTTCACTGAAAACTCAAAGTACCAGCGTCCATGGAAAAGACTCATGGCTGAGAGAATGTATGAACAATGAAACGCCATCTTTTATTTTCAATACAAAGTCTTTAAAATTCCTTTTACTTTGCCTTACCAGTTTACTTTCAGTCCCGTTCAAGTGCATTTCTTTATACTTTCAATTCATGTTACTTTCTTTACAATTTTAACGCTGTCGAAATCTACATTTTTCACGTTTTTTTAGTCACCTTTTCGACCAAGTCGAAACTAGGTTCTACCAAGAGAAAACTAAAACAAGGTTTTTTGGCACTATGTTCTAGGATTCACTAGTTGATCCTGCAAGTAACCTTTAACTAAGAGACTAGTGTTTATTTACTAATTTTCTACGTAAACAAGTTGGCACATCCAGTGGGACATGTGCTAAATCACATATCTTTTATAGATATTTCTTGGTTTTCTTTATTTTAAAGTTTATTTATGTTCATGAGTGTTTCTGGGTAGTTTGCATGTGACTAAAAAGTGGAAAATATTTGTCTAAAATGTCGTGTCCTCCTCTAGAAAAGTTAATCCTCAGAATAATCCTCAAAATATAGTACAACAACCAGTCGTGTCTTTGTTAAAGAGCTAATTATCTTAACACCGGTTATGACAACTGCTTCGGTGGTTTCAATTATGCTAGTCCCCGCGATACCATCGCATGGGCCTTTATTTGGTTTTTCAATGCCACCAAGTGGAAGATACTACCCTTATGGCATGCCAATGTTGATGATGTCTAACCTTCAATGTAGTGGTGACGACGCCATTGTACAATCCTTACAATGCCTCAGCATCAACCAATAACAATATGGCGCGACCAAGAGGGATAAGTTACATGCCTCAAAATACACCATCTTTAAATAGGACCTCTATGATGGCTATGAGGCAACAAATGGATGAGAATAATTTATAATTGGTTAATACTCTCCCCCAAGAAATGGGAACCATTTTCAACCCTTTAATTGCAAATACAAATCAATTCTATAAATTATTGGCTAACCAAATGGGGTTAATTGTTGGTTTCTTTGGCACGCCTCTAATATAGGTGCGACCTACCCTTAAAATATCAAACACTAGGCAGGTCGAGACCCCTAGGAATGGGACATCACAAGCCACGGTAGGTCTAAATCAGGGTTTTTCAACCACGTGAAACCCTTCCAAATAGGGAAGAGGTGGAACAAATAGAACAAAATAACCCTAGGCCTTTGATGGTTTAGAGAAATCAGAATACCGACCAAGTGGTTAGACATGTCCAACAGTAAATGCAGTAAAAAAGATGTTGCGGTGAAAATTGGATAACAAGCTATTAATTAACTTGAATCTTATTTCTTTTACAACCAATCTTTAATTTATCCAAAGGAAAGGTCTCAAGAAAGAAAAACCTTTTTCGCGATGTAAACAACGCTAAGAGATTCGGGGATCGGGGGTTAGTTATATCTAGGGAAGGTATTAACACCCTAAATATCTGTAGTACTCTACAGGAACCTTTTGTTTGATTGATTGCTAAGTTTGTGAATTGTGCTATGGTTAAGGGATAA